ACATGCATATCCGTACATACATATACTTAATCATACACTTAGATTTTGGCGAGTTTCTCCATACGTGTATCCGCACTCTTCATCCATTGGCATTGGCGCCTGCTCCTTTCTGTCTGCAATGTCACAAACGCAAGATTCACCGCGCCGCACTTTGTACAATTCCAACAGTTTCAGCGAACATTAATTGGCGAACACCGACTACCAAAATGTACCTCGCCATCGCCACAGCCTCGACGATATACACATCCTTCGCACACTCACAGAAGAAAGAGTGATTACACCACATTGTACACTTGGTTCCGCTTTCCGAGGTACAATTTCAGCTTCGTCTCCACACATCCAGCAGCTGCGCCAACAACCTCCCACCGGAAAAACACTGCGGCACCCGTGAAAACACAGTGAGATATGAAAAAAGGATCTGAATAATGACAAACAAATTAGCAGATTGACCTAGGACACACGTCAACGTCTCGCTTGTTAAAAAATGCTTACCATCACAGCTTGGGTTTGTTAAAACCACGATTACTAAAGTCGTAGGAAACGTAATTCACTTCGTTGGCAGAGAAGGAAGCACCCAAGTACGCTCGCCCTAGGTGCTGCAGCTTTATTTGATACATTTGATAAAAAAGGTTACTATAGCAATTGGAATAAAGTCAATGTTACCATGTACTCGTGAAAAGATATTGGGAAGAAAGGCAATAGGGCCGCCACTCCTAAAACACGCAAACCAAGACAACTAGGACTCACAAAACAAAAGACTAACACAGCAAATGAAGCAAATTGTTACCTGACGGAGGTACAGAGCAACATCAAGGCCCGATTTCCAGCTTATTGTCCTTTAAACATCTCTCGAAGTACACCAGATGTAATATCAGAGACAGATATATTCCCGCCCGCTTTAGACTTCAAATGATGGTAAAGATAAAGTAAAAACAAAGGTTCAGCAAATTTTTAATTTAAATTTACATTTTATCTCTGTCTAACTAAAACCGTCGCACTAGTACGATGAACAAAAACTCACAGCACCGACGGACAATGTACATAAACAGCAACCAATAAGCTTGAAGCTAACAATATAAACAAACAAAAAAGCATGTAGTAAAATAAAAGGAAAAAATAGAAAAAAAGTTAAAAAAAATTAAACAAGTAAAAATTTTAGGCAAAGTAAAAAAGAACAGTAACAAGTAAAAACAATAAAAAATATTTTTTTTAAGACAAAAGAGCTTAAAATACAGAAGGATCGAAAAGGTTTACTTATACAAAAATTGAATCACAGAAAAATACAAAATAATGAAAACTGTTCTAAATTTTAACAGCAATTACGGCAAATTTCAAACAATTAGAAAAAAAGATTAACTGTTAAATCAACAGATGTAAAAATATAAAAAATGCATGTAAAAAAAGTTATTTTACATAGATCAAAATGCTTAATATTATTACTATCTAGTTATATAAAGTAAGGAAAAATCGTAGTTTTTAAAGTAAATAAAACGTTATTAAACAAAAAAGTAAACTTCTGGGGATGAAGGACGCACAGCGAAGAAATCACCTCCAAACGGAACCTAAAAAGAAAAGAAGAGGGCAGAGGATACAAAAAAAGTGTACGCATACCTGAGAAAGTTCCAGCAAATTCAAAAAACAGTTTACAAAAACAGAGGCTCTAAGCAGAAATTGACGCAAATTAGACGCTGGAAAAAGCCATATAGCGCCTACGGGGCAAAGGTGAGGAAAAGAAAAGGGACCGAGTGAGAGGAAAGTAGGGGAGGGAAGGGTCAGGTGACGTAATAAAGGGTCTCCCTGGCCGGACTCCAGGCCAGTTCAAGGTCACAAGACGTCACCGTGGGGGCGAGTGGGTAGATATTAGGCCAGGGATGTGTCATGTGACGTAATGATCCTTTGCCCTGACGAGAATTCATGTCATTTTCTGTTCGAATGACCTCACTGGTATGTTCTGTTGTGTTTTCTCTGTTTCCTATTTGTTGTCGTCAAGGTCATTGTTTGGCTTAGTGGTCTTTTTTGTGGCCTATCTTTTCATGACCAGGCCGCTGTTTTTGCTTTTTTGCACTTTTTTCTTTGTAGTGCATCACTGTAATCTGATTGGCTGGTCCCAAGGTCACGGTGTCGTCGTACACATGTACTTGTTTGGCTTGAACATCTGGAGCTTATGGGTTGTGTATGAGGTGTAGAATTTTGTTAGATGCATATCATTCTGTACTTTACTGATGTTAGTGTTTATTGCGATCCTATTGGCTCGTGTCAAGGTCGTAGTTTCTTGTTTTCTAGTTGCTGTGCCATGCATTGGAGTATTTCTATTAGATGCTTCAAGGTCATGCAGTCGTCCTTGACACTCCGTAGTCGATCGTTAATTCTATGTGGTTGTTGGCGTGGTAGAAATTGCGCATCCCCTTGATGGAATGATTGCATTGGTTAGTTTTAGTGCGGCACGTGGTAAGTGATTTCTATTGGCTGCTGTCAAGGTCACAGGGCTAACCTTGGTAAGTAATTGTGCCGTTCGAACCTTGTGGGTTCATGTGTTACTGTGGGATGCTAAGAATGGCCTGAAGGCACGCGTAGTTGCCATACTGAAGTCTCAATGGCATGGAAGTATCCTATTGGCTGTTGTCAAGGTCGCGGGCTGGGCCTGGGTGAGTCACCGCATCTTTTGACCTATGCGGGGTTGTGTGGTACTTGTGAAAACCATGCATCGGCATGAAGGCGGTCGTGTATGTTGTACTTCGGCTATAACCTCAAGGTGAAATTCTACTGGCTACCTCGAAGGTCACGGGGCATGTCCTGACCCAGTAGGCACGTGGCGTGACCGCGGCAGGGCCGCGGAGAGTGGAGGGACCCACGGAACCGCGACCAGCCCACCGCCACGAGCCAATAGGGAGGCCTCAAGCCGTGCCAGAACCCCATTGGCCAGCGCCAAGGCCACGGGGTCACGCACCGTCTTATCATAACCCAAACAAGTAGCTAATCCCTGCATTCCGTTTAACCATATTACTACTATCCACTGGTAAATCACACTGCAAATGTGCAGTCAATGAGATGTAATTCCACTATCCTACCGTTGTCTACAAGTTGAACGTTGTCATATCTCCTCTCCAATTCAACTCAACTCATACCTCCACTATGTGGCTGTCCAGTGGATGGATCAGCAGGTTGTGGCTTCCTGGTAGGATATTGTGGGTTCCTTCCTCTTCCACGACTTGGATTAGCCAGTCCACGCTTCCGAGTAGTAGTTGGCAGTAGCTGCATCAGTTATGTTGTGCGAATCTTTGCCGCAATCGGTGGCCTCCCCTGTGTGTCTGTGTGTTTGTCATCCATTCCATGGACGGACGGACGATACTGCATTGTTATGTGTATGCGAGTGTGGTCGGTCGGTGATTAGGGAGCCAATTGGGAAATATGAACTTCCTCTAGTCTACTACTACTACTGTTATTACTATTGTCATTGTTGTTGGTTTTGTTGTGGTTGTTGTTGCGGAGCGAGTATTCATCTCTCTTTCGCTCATCCACTTCTACTACATCGCTTCATCCTTTTCTGGTCCATCAACCTTCCTTCCTTCCATCAAAAGCCCATCCACCCCTTTAACCATTTCCTTCTCTAGCACTTGAGTTCCTGTCTGCCATGCGTCCGTCCCCCTTTACTTTGTTTACCCGCCATTGGTGGTGGTGACCCAATCCATCGAACATCATTCATTCACTGCGCACCTGTCTACCTCCCATCCACTTATTCGCCCCCAACTTACTTGCTATTTCGTTTATTTATTTACCTCTACCTTCACCTCCTCTACCTTCATTTCAGAGCTGGGCAAGATGCACTTACTTTCCCACTACCCACCTACCTACCTACCTCGACGCTAATGTCATCATCCAACGCAACAAGTTGCGGAGTGGAATTAACATCTGGCTCCTCACTGGGCTATTCATTACTTGTTTATCTGCCAAACAACAACAGCACAACTTCAGTCCGTCCCTGCCAATTGCCTCCGGTCAATGACGTGGAAAGGGGACGGAGAAATGTCTGTTACATGGTGGTCATGGGAGAAGGTTTGTGGGAAGGTGAGACCTTCAAACCACTTGCTCCGATTGACTCAACAGAATTCAAGTAGGTGAATGGACGCCAACTACGACGACAACGCGGGAGCATAAGTGCGTGGAGTCATCTCTCTCCCTCTCTCTCGCTGTACCTGCTGCTACTCTCCTCCAACTCCTCTCTGCCTCCCTGCCGTCTACCCATGGACGACTGATCGACCAACCGACCTACTTGTCTATTAGTTACAAATCCGCTTTTTCTAGCACCTCTTCTCCCCCTTCCCCCCCCCCCCCCTTTTCTTTTCTCTT